AGTGATTAGTGGACCTATGTGAACACGACGATATGATTAACTTAGGGGAGCAGTTGTTATTATTAAGAATAAGTTTAAGCAATCTACAGTGAATTCATTAGGCTGAATTAAGGCATTTCCAAGTGAATTCTAATTTCTTCAATTTTATGTCATCAACCCAATCCCAGTGAGACGTATGATTTTTATAGAGAAGAGATAATTCAGCGAAGATTTTCTTTTTCGACGATATCATTTTCTAAAGCTGTACAATCGTATTTATATATATATCATAAACATATAATAGTCCATTACTAAACAATAGGATATAATTACATCACTAACCAAGTGCTACAAAAAACCGAATCAAGAATGCAAAGTAGTTGCGTAATAATCTAAGACAGTAGAAATGTGGAGGAAGGCGAGGAGTTTGACAAGGTGAAAATTGTTGGTAGACTGGACCGTTATATGTTTATGATATATATAAATACGACTGTACAGCTTTAAAAAATGATATCGTCGAAAAAGAAAAAATTTCTTCGCTGAATTATCTCTTCTCTATGACGTATGATATTATTGAGGTGTATAATCCAGACTAAGATATTCAGCATATAGACTTGGGAAACATTTCAAAATGTCTAAATGTTAAACGGTGATACCAGGTATACTGATACACTGTATGATAAATCTAATACATCAATAAAAATGGAATGATTAGAAACCGTTCACACTCTGGACTGACTTACCCTAATGATCGAAGTATAGATAACTGGCATTCAGATGGTGAAAAAAGGTTGCTTTTGGTTTAACTATTCTCTACATCAATGTACGAATTAATAGGATTCTTGAAGTAGCTAGGTTCGGGCTCAGGAGCTTCCTCCGAGCCGCTGTACCAAGCGAACAAATAATACATTGATTACAAATGTCTAACTTCTACAGTTTTCAAGCTTCAAGGGAAGATATACACCATCCATGCAATAGGACTGGCCTAACAGCTATTCTATTTGGTAAATTTTACTAACCATACGACAAGTGAAGGCGGAAAAATAGAAATTTGAAAATAGGATGTGAGAGATGGATGTACTCGTTACTTTCGACTCAGATATTTTATTATATAATTTATAAATATACTCGCATTCCAGGGTAAACATTGTCAAAATAAGCGTCTCAATCACAACCATTACTGCATATCTATTGGGTAACATAAACGGGATTATCAAGTCTTACAAAAACTCTCAAATTATGTTCAAAAGCCACAGACATATCCGTTGCAGAAGGGATCCTCAGCACATAACCTAAGCTGTATTAATGGTTACAATCACGGTTTAAGTAAGGACTCATGTATGTCTTAACATCGCAAGTGCTGAAATGTGTGATAACACCCAGTCTTCACAAGTAAAGGTAAAAACGTCACAGATGGGCAATATTAGTACATACGTTGGTGTAGTGTTTGAAAACCATCTTATATCATTGATATGATTACGCGCAATAATTTATGCTCGGAACGTCATGAAGTAAATAATACTAGATCACTGTGTGTTATCAATCAAGTAAACAAATCTAATATGGAATTAAATTCTACCACAGTGCCCAAGTTTTACACCTATATTATAATAGTCAGGAAAACCCTTGGTGATTCAAGCGAAATAGAAACCAGGTCAGGAATCGGGTCTTTCAGCTCAGCTGGTAGAGCAACAGGTCGGAAACCCGATGGTCGTAGGTTCGAATTCTGCCCTGACTCAGACCTTCATTTCACCCTCAGTTGTCATCTAATATCAATACAAGTCTGTAAAACCGCGGATATCTCAGATAATCAAACTGATAATACTTGTAATAGTGCAGAACGTTGACTGCTGTCGCTCTTACAAGACATCCTAGTTGAACATTGAATAAGATACATCGAGTTCTAAAAAGCTTCGACCAAAGCTTGGATGGATCTTGGGATTAATTTTTTTAATGAAACCATCACAAAAAAGGAGATGGACAGACAGATAAATCATCCAGAGTGAAGCATTACAGTAAAATTTCAGCAATGGAATATGCCTAAGAGTCCCGGTTAATAACTGTAACTAGTGACTCCTCATCCGGTGATAAATTGACAGACCACTAAGTCTGACAAAAATTTTGTGACAGTATAAGTATTTATTAAAGAAAAAGAAGTGGTAATACTAATATTACAGTTTTCATATGTACAATGGTTGGTAGGGAAAAGAAAGAATGGTCAATTAGACAACTTTGTATCGTCCACGATTGATTGAATTGCCGATTGCTACAACGAAAGTCAGAATACGAATAAGCATTGAGAGATGAAAGTTATTTATATGAGAATGATAATATGGAAGAAAACAATTACGACTTGATTTTTAATAATAAGTTAATAAAGAAAAACCATGAAAACATATTTATGACTTCAGCTTCGAAACTTCTAGATAAAATGTGTAAAATACATGAGGTGCTGAAATCAGAAGCTAATCAGCGCAACTATAATGTCCGATGTAAACTAATTGTGATTTTCAAAATTAGTATTTCCCGTTAAGTATGATTTACAAAGGAAATCAGACTTATTGTTGTAAAAGAAGTCATCCATTCACTGATATCAAACCAACGATAGATACAGATAAATCATATTGTTAAAAGCTGTCGCTACAGATAATCGATGGATTGATGGGTGATCCCCGCTAATACTGAGAAATTCGCCTGGAGTTTAATCACGCTCATGTATGTCTTCCCTTCGCAGGTCGCAGGAAGTAAATATCGGCAAAGCCTCAGTGTGTACAACTGAACGATAAGAACGTCAGATGTTTACTTAGGGAAGGGGCAACTAAGCATTTTTTTGATGGCGCTTGGTGTAATATTCAGTCTGCTCTAGGATGAAGACAGGCAAAGCATAAACCAGTACACTCACGCAATTTTATTTGAAAGGACTGACACAAAAAGACTCACTGCTGCTGGCTCTGACCACAACAAGACCCAAAAGCAGCTGAAACTAGGATTGACTAGGTCTTTGCAATGATCCCCAGCATTTGTAGGAGGTGGAGGCGAAAGAGATGGAGAAGTAACAGCATCACGTATTACTCGTTGATTATGTAGGTTAATAAAGGATACTAACGAGAAAAAGAAGACGATTAGTGATGGGATGGGCTGCCGACAATGTATCAGGGCAGATAGTAACGAAAATGGGCGGAAAACTTTGAAGAACAGTTCAACTGGCCTGCAGCTATGCTTCAGTTGACCGGTATCCAGCTTGAACCCAAATGGCACATAGATGTCCGCTCTTCATTTATCATCGAAGTTGAGAAGTTACCTACAACCTGAGACGATGCAAAGCATCGGGACCTGAGAGCTTACTACCTGAAGTTTTTAAAATGGATGCAAAATATTACTGAGTAGCAAAGCCATTAGGTACCATATGGAATCAGAGGTAGTCCCGTTGGACCGATCCACATAGCTTATCAACTGACGAGGAGGGAGAAACGTCTACTTGTGATAACCATAGGCGGATCAATCTGATTAACCTACTGCCCAAGATCCTAGGTTACACATATATTTGACGCCAAAGTAGAACTTGCGAATAAAAAACTCCAGAAAGCCAGGAGGGCTCCAGCCCTAAACGAGGATGTCTCAATCAGATCTTTACCCTTTGACAGATTCTGAAACACAGACATGCTTTAAGTAGGCCGATATTTACCACATTTTTGACCTGAAAGTGGTATTTAACCCTGTAAATCGACAGGTATTGTCGTAGTGTCTGACCGTGAAAAGACAATCACGTATGTTATGCTAATCAAGGCTCTCTAATCAAACTGATTCATGTTGGGATTAATCGGAGGTTGTCATTTAGAGCAAAGACAAGTAGTGTGTCCACTGTCACCATTATAGACGTGCCCATGGACATAAACCTAGATATCACGGAATTTACAAGGTTTGCCTAACCCCTGAAGGGCATCTCATTAAGTTCGAGTACGCAAACGAAACTGCACTGTCAGAATATGCTGGGAAAATCCAGGATCTTGTGAACACCGTGAGTAAACATGAGTAGATTTAGAATGTTTTGTACCTGTTTTATGTAAGATGAAGTTTCACTTGTCTGCAACAACTCCAAATTTAATGACGGGGAGTGAAGTGCTGGGATGAGTTGACCTATTCACTTGGGCAGTTGCATCAGCACGAATGGTTTGATTGCTGACGAAATATCAGCTCGGATACGAAAGGTTCGTTCAGCTTTGTCCAAATTGTACATCTAGCACCTATGAGATATGCAATGACTTGTTGAATGATTGGTAAACTACAATCCGTTGAACGTAGAAGATATAAAAAGACTTCTCAAAATTGTTCATGTATGGTGCAATTACAGTTTGAGCAATGTTAGACTTAAGGTACTAGCCAAGGAAGGCAAGTGGTTCTGAACATTCCACAGACTAGGATGGATTGGTCATGTATTGTGCATGCTAAGCTACCACCTACTTTGACATACAATACTAACCGAAGCTGGTCGGTATTGGAAGAAGCTTCAGGTTGGCCAGAACAAGACGTGGCACTAATCCACAAATCTCTGACTCTTGGTGTGAGGCGTGTACAGACGTGCATACTATCTTATTCGAGTCCTCAAGATAACAGGAATCTAAGGTTGAAGAGCTTTGATAACGACCGAAAACCGGTCAAAATGGTACGAACCTATTTACTCCTAGACATCTTCCAAAGTTGGGATATTTTCACCAACCTTCACTTTTCGAATTGTTTTCCTCTTCCATACACTTTTGTCTACTTTGATACCACGTTTTCAACCGAATAATTTTTTCAAAGTTTGATATGGAGTATGAAAACTTGGATTGATGCACTTCCATGCGAGGTTCTCCGTTGATTTTCTCTCTCTCTCTCCCCAGGATATGCACTGCACTTGAAGAGTAGGTCGAATTTAATTTATAGTGTGTTTTTAATTCCGTTCGAATGACAGCCGAAGAAAAGAAGCAAAATATTGGTTCGTTTACAAAAGAAGACAATGTAAATGTTACCACAGGTAAAATTCATGAAGATTGACTTATTTCTCCTGCTATTTGTAGATGTCCTGAAGTCATCTGTTGTGGGTATTTATCTAAACAAATCTCGCTTAAGTGTATACTTATAGAGACGAAAGCACCTAGTATGTGAAAATATTTACATGAATTATATACGAGATATATCGAAGAAACCAGTTGGACATAAACAGAGTTAGAAACTTACCAATTTAACTAATTCTTCCTTAATAATACGCATGATCTCTTTTTTAGCCAGAGCAACTTGTCTTTCATTGACAGCTTCAATACACAAATAAAGTGGTCTATCATCTGTGCCTTCTGGTATATGATTCTTAGCTTTGGCTGGTGGCATATATACTCCACGTACAGATACCCCAACATCACAGTAGTCACTCAGATGATTCAGCATTCACGACCAGTGATGCGCCATCTGACGTTTTGAGGGAAATCGTTGATAACTAGTTCTTCCTCATATCTATAATTCAAAGGAGAGCAGTTTATATTCGTTAGGAAACAGCATTGCCTTTCCTCACTTATACAATCGTTCGGTGCTGTCAGAACGTAAACTTCAGTCGATGTACACTGGTGCTATTCTAAGTGACATGAGATTCTTCAAATAAAAGTTATCTACGTGGGAAGCACGACATCTCAATCATAAGACCATATTGTGTTTAAAGTCAGATGCATTTCGAATGACGACATGCGTTCCCGTTAAAAGTGAGGAAGAGCATGCACTGTTATTAATTTTAGATTGAAAAATAAGAAAATGCATTACTAACTTCACATAGAGAAATCTTAGGCCGAAGATGTAAAGATAGAAGACTGTTAACACTTCTTTCAACAGATGACACCGCTGAATTTAAATGTTATCAAGGTAACTGACAAACGGTTTAAACTTGCAACTAATATGAGTGTGGAATATGCAATCGCAAACTACTTCTTTGCAATGCGTACCTTAATAATAACCACTTCTGAAGAATATACAGGATAAAAAAGACACTGAAAATAAATTAAGCAGCCTATCAATAGTGCGAATCTTTTTAAACTGGGAGAATATTAAGCACCAAATAAAAAATCTTACCGTCTAACCATGTCACTTCCTGCAGCAGTGTTAGGAGTTGCGCTCTCCTCATCACCAGTACCTGATGCTTGTTTGGTGTAACCAAGTTTAGCATTTAAGCGTTCAGCAGCTTGTTCAGCCAACGTGCGACTTGTAGGAGTTGGAGGCACAGGTATAGCAGCAGCGGTAATTGTAGCGGTAGCAACAGCAGTGGACTCACTGACAGTGGTGGCGCTCACAGTTGTGGTGGATGGCAATACTGTTGGAGTACTAGTAGTCAGATTTTTGACAAGTCCCAACTGAGCAGCTTTCTGGCGTGCGAGTGCCAAAGCCGCATTTACAACCGCCTGACCAGCCTGTGCGCTAAAATCAAAACATATAAAGAAATGTGGTTAGTCAGTAGCTCTGAAGACTTAGACAGCCACTATCATTTCTAATGAAATAGAAGAAACTAACAAGTAGAAGCATACAATCAGAATTAACAATTCTGAGTTTACCCTTTCAGACCTTGCTTTCACAAGACATTAGGAGATGAACAGGTTGGAACAGACAACTAGAACCACGGAGAAAACAATTTTCGAGAAACTTAAACGAATCTATGCAAAACGTAATGCTTACCATAGCAATGGAAAGGGGTTGGATAAATGCACATCCACTAATTTATGTACATTAGGCAGATACAGACAGGTTGTGACTTGATAAGCAAATAACTAAAGGACAACATTAATTCTTGGCCCTTAACATGGTTAACTTAAACTGATTTTAACTTTTATCTTATATTCAGACTATTTGATCAAAATATTCATATACTTTTCAGTTTGTCGAATGTAGATTAAAATCAAACGAAGTACGAAAATGCTGAATAACTTCTGCTCTGGTTAGTAAGTTTCTTAATCAAACGTATGAATCAATGTCACTCAGCAGTGATGTGAAGTTCACTAGAGTAAACAATGAGCCACACCTGCTGTGTTAAGGTGTGTGATGATACCTAGTTATTCGAACCGCAGTCGACGAAGTAGGACTCTAATCGGTAGTGCGCTGGTTGAAAGTATGCCACCAGAAGTGGTATAGCCATAGCTCTTCATCTCTGTATGTTAACCATCCTCGCCAATAAATATGCTATGGTTCCTTCAGTTTATAAATAGATATGTGAAGGAAAAGACAATTGATTCTTTACTAGAACTGGTGACGGAAATTAATAGTATGAAAAACTTATAGGGAGAGTTTAAATAAGGCAATAAATACTACTTATTATTGAATGATGATGATTCTAATCCCTTTTTCATTTTCATTCATTTCAAAGAAAGTAGAACGGAAGTATGAAAACAAAAAATGTTCTCAAACTGAGAATAAGTCACAAGTGTGCTGGCTATCAGTGCATATACGAAAGAAAACTTGCCTAACTTCTGCAATTTCAGAAGTATTCTCTACTGCACTGCTCTTTGATACATCTTTGATTTTGATTTTGTGGCTAACATATCTTCAATTTTCGAATCCCAATCGACATTGCCATCACCATCTTCGTCATCTGAATCTTGTAGGCCAAGCGCAGCCTTCTGAAGACGACGTTTTTCACTATTTAACTGAGCTTCCACTTCATCAAACATGAATCCTTTGCCACGGAAACCTGAAGAACCGTAGACTTTTTTGCCTTCCTGATGGTGCAAGTAAAATAAATTTTCTCAATGTTATTATATTTCCAAGTAGACGCTCGATAATTTAATGAAAGGATTAAAATAAAGAGGAGAATATCAAGAAAACTCATGTAAACACACATGAAAACTAAAAGGCCTCCCACTGTAACAGTTCGTCAATGATCATATTACTTTGGAGCAACTTATTTTTTAGGCATGATTTCTTCCTATACTCTGATTGTCTATCTTTGTTATTTGCTGTTATTTTATTAGCTAGAATTGAGTTAGCACTCAACTGTATTGAGATTGTCATCTTCACCCTTTTTGAGTGTAGCTTGTGAATTGTTTGCTTTCATATCGTTTCGAAAGTGTACAAATTACTATTAATATAAAATATATAACCGCCAATTACTGCTAAGAGAAAACCAGACACTCTTCTCACTTTATTAGACTCTCATTAGCATTTTCTCAGGTGAAACTAACGCTCATTGACTTGTTCACACTGAAAAGACAGATGTAAACAAGTTCAGGTAAAAACTAAAATACTTTCCACGCAGATACATGTGGAAAGAGTGAAAAAAACTATCTTCTTTAGAAATCTGTATCACTAAACAGGAATTCTGTTTAAAGTCAGCACTTATGAAACCTAAGAAATTCAGCAAATGAGTGGGGAAAATGCACTACTAGGTTACTAAAAATGTCAGTTTCAAATCCCAGAATACATTTCCACATTAAGATCGGAAAAACCAGTCATTAGATTGATACTGAGTGATGACTGAGGGTGAAATGGAAATTCGGACCGCAGTCGGACTCGAACCAGCGACCTCGCACTAAGTTCGTAGGGCATCAAGCAGGAAACCCGACGGTCGCTGGTTCGAATCAAGCTGCGGTCCAAAGTTTCATTTCACTTTCAATCACCACTCAGTGCCAATACTAGTCTGCCGAACCAGGGACATCTCAGATAGTCAAAATGATAATTATTACATTTTTGCCGTTCATAAAATCAAATGTTACAGTAAACCATGGAAAACGTGTGATTATTATCAAATAAATCCCGTATGTCACAACAAATTAAAAACAAAAACCTACATGTTCCATTCGGATCTTGTAAGCGTTCCACATGTTTAACAATTCCTCTGGAGGTTTCTGACCACTCTGCTTAAATGCGCGAACAATATCACCAGCGTTACGTTCTTGATCAGGAGTAAGAAAAGTGTAGGCGAAACCTTTGCGACCCGCCCGTCCAGTACGCCTGTAAACAGATAAGCAGATAATAAGTGTATGGACCAGTCACGCTAAATGCAATGTAACAACGATAAGGGGTATACAGGTCACGAGTAATAGGGATTACCTACGGTTTCGCGAAAATCTCTCCGCAAAGCTTGACTTAAAATAATTTCAACACGAAAGTTATTCAATATCCAGTTTTTGTGTGGAAGCAGTAGATCACATGAAAACTGATCAAACCAAAACACAGTGTACGGAAAACTCTAATTACTTCAGAAACGACTACTTGATTCAGAAAAGCCACATGGATAGGAAGAAAACTGCCTCTACTATAGAGGATTTTTTATTGTCATGAAAATGATGCTATAGATAAAATCTTTTTTCCCAAACCTTAACCCAAAAATCTTTGAGTGTCACAAAAGTGAATACCGATAGCTGCTACTTTGACGTGGTGGTCGGCCTTCCATATCACAATGACCAACGAGCTATGATGACTGGAGCGCTTGCTACTTCGAGGTCCCAGGATACCAGAAATGTCAGTTGGATAGTGGTAATGTAAAATACTACACTACGATAGGAGTCTGAGTGTGAAGTCATTCTGCTGCTAGCTGGATGCGGTGTGGCGACAGTAAGAGATTTCTCTTGGGTGACTAGCAATACCACGATAATGCTGACTTCCTAACGGGAAGGGAGCTTAAAAGAGGTCGGTTCCTGAAATAACACACTCCACACTGCTCCACGGTCCTCTGGAGTCAGCAGAATGGATTTCGTCTATCGGGTGTTAGAAGAACCAAACCTCGAAACATATCAAAAAAGGCAGCCTGTGACAGGCCCCAAGCAGATTTTCGATGGAATCCTCGGTCACGAAGATCTCTTTGTCTTTCAGGTACCTTAAGAAGAAATAGTCTTCCACGATGTGGGCAGCCGAGAAGTGTCAACCGCCTACACCCTCGCAATAGTACACAAGGTCCAATCAAACATAAACTATACTTCTCAACTCTGTCTCCTACTTCGCCCTCATCTCTGGATACTGCTGTTAAGCCTCTTACACCCTCTTCAACCTCACTCTACAACCATTTCCAACGATCAAAGCCGTCAGAACATCATTCCTAGTCTTGTAAGACTCCGCCATAGATTTCATGTAAGAGTATTTAACGTCCGAACTCTATGACAAATCTGACAGCAAGCATCACTCGCCAAAACTCTATAGCCACGGATGAATGCAGTGTCTCTGAGACAGGTATACAAAATCCACGTGTGGTTATTAAATTAACCTCACCTGGCGGTAAAGACAGTCAGCAAACTACACTTTACGGTTAGTAAAGGTCATTCGACTTATGCAACTGATTGATGCGAGAAGACTGATTCCAGCGGTTTCTGACTACAAGGAACAGCGAAAGCAACTTAGGCGTAAGTTGACCAACAGTCCTCGTGTCGATCGCGAGCATAGGTGGGTGGCGTGAGTGGGAGAAGGAGTAGGCATCAGGGTTGGGTAACACTAGGGAACTAACTAGGCTTATTAAGCATACCGGCAAAAAGAAGACAGTGGTGAGTGAAACCAACGCAGAAAAGGATGCGACGCTGAAAACCTCTCAATTTCTGGTGACTAGAACGCTGTGCAGAAAACTTTGAAGTACAGTTCAACTGGCCCTCAGCAACGCTAGTTACCCAATGTCCAACCAGCCTGAACCTGAATGAGATGCAGATGTTGGACTTCCAACACTCTTTGAAGTTGGGAAAGCTGTATGGAACGTGAAAAGAATCAAAGCAGCAGGACCAGACAATTTGCTACCTGAAGTTTCCAAGGAGAGAGATGGGAAATTGCTAATTAGTAACGCCGGTTGTCGTTAAACTGGTATACTTCACTGATCATCCTAGTCTATAAGGGCAAGAATTCTTGTGACAACCATAGGGGAATTAGTTTGACTAATACTGTATTAAAGATCTCGGGGTTTGTAGTTATCCAACGCCTAACTGGAGCTTGAGAAAGCCAGGCAGGTTTCAGACCTGGACGAGGGCGCACCATTCATATTTTCACATAGCGACACGCTCCGAAACACAGACATAAGTACCGACAAGTGACCGAGACTTACAACATTTCTTGAACTGAAGACAGTGGCATTTCACTCTGCCAACCATGAAGTGTCATACCAGTGTCTGACTGCGCAGGGAGTACTGAGAAAGTACATAACTAATTAAAGCCTTCCACTGGAACTCACACAGCTATTTGAAAGTTATGCTGTCAAATTAATCGCTTTTGAAAACGCCTTTGACAGCGCCGACAGAGAAGTAATTTGGAAACTGCTTCAACACTACGGTTTCACTGCCACAAACCTCTATACACATCGTTCAACAGCAGCTGTATGCCATATGACGACACTACATGCCAAGTGGTTCAAAATGGAAAGCTCAGTGATGCCTTTGAAGTGAAGACAAGAGTCAGACAAGTTTGCCCACTATCACCGATAATCTTCCTGATTGTGGTCGACTGGACTGGACTGGATCACGCAACAAACTGTGGGGAGGGAGAAGAGGGGCTTACGCTGGCTGGACCGATGAAAAGACCCCAGAAGGAGATTCGGATTTCGCCAATGATGATTTATGTCTAATGCCTTGTCGCACAAACTCGAAGATCTACAGGCGAAAACCAACAAGTCGACAGAAGAGGCGAGGCAGTGAAGATGTGACTTTCTTCAGGTGAATGTAGAGAAGACAGAGGTGATGAAGATACCCAACCAACAACGGGAGCAGCAACAACAAAAACTACATTCACCAATCACCATCAATGGGAGAAATCTCTTCCACCTACCATGGCAGACAGCATCGTTTCAACTACAGGCGGCGGCGGTGACACAGATGAGGACGTCAAAGCCGGGATCGGAAAGACAGCAAGACAGGTCTTCATTAACCTGGAGTCAGTGTGGGTATCTACTGCATTCAGCTCAGCATAAAGAATAAGTCAATGCTTCTATGTGATGATTTAGAGACTTGGCGCGTTACGAAAAGCATTTCCAACAAACTACAGACACCGATCAACAGCTGCCGTCTACGCTCACTAGATACTGAAGATCAGATGGATGGCCAGATAGAATAAGCAACAAGGAACTCTGGTTGGGCAACGAACCAACCAAGAACCTATCGCCCAACAAATATGCATTGGAAGGAAGTGGAGATGGGTTAGACATACACTGGGAAGACGATTTGGGGACATCATGCACCAGGCCAGGCTCTCGAGTGCAAACCAGAAGTGAAACGATGAGTTGGGGCGTCCCAGCTAAGGGTGACATGGAGAATATCATGTGAGGAAGAAGCGAAAGCTTGTGGGCAGTGGTGGAGCGAGGTTCAAAAGACTGCAGAGAACAGAGCGAAATGGCGATGTTTCACTAGGAATCCCAGGGACAAATAATCATAATAAGCACTGGTGTCCAGCAGGGATGTTCACCGTTACCGTTCGTATTCAACTTTGTTATGGACGTACTAGTGGACATAACTTGAGTTAGATGCTCCAGGACTAGTGTGCAATCACTGCAAGCTTGCTTAATGATAGGGAGTGAAGTACTGGAATGTGTCGACCACTTCACCTACTTGGGGAGTTGCTGATGAAATCTCACGTAGGATACAGAAGGCCTGTTTGGCATTTGCCAACTTCCGTCACCTGTGGCGTTGGCGAGATTCCCGACGATCTTTCAAAGGAACAGTATACTGCGCTGGAGTGTGTTCCGTCATGGTGTACGGCTGTGAGACATGGCTGTTAAAAATTAGAAGACATGAAGCGATTGCAGGGTTTTTATCACAGATGTCTTCGTAAGATTGCTTGCTTGTGATGGGAATCATTGTGTGACCAATGTTGAGGTTAGACGAGACAAAAAGGGTTGAGAATTGGTCACAATAGTGAAGGTGTATCTG